AGAAGAGGATGGAAAGGAGCATTTCTTGAGCTCCTACTGAATATCATTCTTATTAAACCTTAAAAGTCATCCTAATATTGGATTCACTAGAAACACTCTTATTGCAAGTCAGGGCTGAGCATGGAGAACTGAGCTGTCCAGGGTCACTCCACCTGGATGGAACCCATCTCTTTGTAAAAGGCCTGGCCCACAGGAGACAGCTCATAGCTGTTTACCCAGTAAACAAAGTCCATCTCCTCAAGAAGGCAGAGGTGGGGACCAGCCCCCATTTCACTCCACTGAGTTAATTTTCCCTGTCTGCTAAGTCAACTGCATGGTCTGTTGCCCTAGCAACTGCCCTCCAACTGCCATGGTAACCGCCAGCACAGGCTCCAGCTCTCCACCTTGCCCCTTGGGTATTTCCATGGCGATGTGCGGGATACAGAAGCTGCCAGAGCCCTGAGGATGCGCGTGCGTAGAGTGGCAGGACCGGGTGGGCAGGAGGGGGCCTGGATCCTGGGCGTGCGCAGTCGCAGAGCACCGCAGCTGTGCCCCATAGCCCGGCGCTGCGCACTTGCCAGCCAGTTCGCCCGTCCGGAGCCCGGCTCGCAGGGGCAGCATGGCGGGGTCGCCACTGCTCCGCGGGCCGCGGGCCGGGGGCGTCGGCCTTTTGGTGCTGCTGCTGCTGGGCCTTCTTCTGTTGCCCCCCGCGCTTTGCGCGCGGCCGGTAAAGGTGCGACCCCAGTCCGGAGTGGGGTGGGGGTGGGGAGAAGGATGCTGCGGGCGATGGTCAGTGCCACATCCTTGCTTGAGCCAGCTCTAGGGATGTGAGGAGATCGTCAAGGGTGGTCCAGGCTCCAGCCGCTGGTACATGGGAAGGCCAGAATGACACACTAGAGACCAGATTGGGTCTCTGCGTGTGGCATTTTCCTGGGCTCTGCCAGCAGCCGCACCCTGCCCATCCCACCGCAGAACAGGCCAGGCCTTGTGTTGTCCCGTCCTCAGAATGTGGCACTGGCATGGCACTAGGGAGAATTCTGGCAGGGTGTGCACGTATCGGCAAGTGTGCATGAGATGTGATGACAGTGGTGTGGGGGTGTTTTAATATGTGAATGTGTGTCCTTGGGTTTGACAGCTTCTGAGGATCCTGCTGAGTTGCGTGATTGTGTAGCGTGTGTGATACTGGAGTTGCTTCTGGGACATTTTTTGTGGGTGTGTGGACCTGCTTTCTCATTGACACCGTGTGTGTATGTATTTGTGATTCCTTATGTGTGATGGCATGGCTTTATGGGCGTGGTTTTCTGTGTGCTTGAGTGTGTCTGCATGATTTTGTTATTTCAGAGGAGTGGGTCCTGCCTCTTGGTGTGCACATTCCATCTTGGTTCTATTGAATTGAGTGCCTGAGATTTTGTAGTAATGTTCATGAGGCTGTTTCTTTCTGCTTCGTGGAGCTGTGTCATTGCGGAGAGAGGAGCCATGATGTCTCTGCTGCTTTGTGTCTTTAAGGGTGGTGCATGTCCTTGCACCTGTGTGGCTTGGAGAGTGTAACTGCATGAGCAAATGTAGATGTGAATGTGTGCTGTAATTTACATGTGGATGTAGCAGTGTTGGGTTGCAAATGTGACACCTCAAGGGTTGTCAGTTGATGTGGGGTGGGGGAGACTGTGATTACTGGTGAGTAATTCCCCTGGGGCTGAGGGGTGGTGGGCACCAACCAAGAGCTCTTGCAGCAGCTTCATCCTTTAGCTCTTTATGTCTGAATAAGGATGGAAGATTTTTAATATTATTAAATATTTTTATATTCAACAATATAGCTAACATATATGTAAAATTGTAAAGAATAATGATAAAATAACCCATTGCATACCCACGACACAGCTTAAGAAATAGAGTATGACCAATAATAGAAGCCCCTATGTGTCCCTCCCCTGGTGTCTTTATCCCCCCATTCATTATCGTGTATTTTCTGTCCATTGATTGCTCATCACATATGTATATATCTCTAAACAATTTATTTTTTAGTTTTTCCTGCTTTAGTACATCATAAAAATGGAATAAAACTGGGCACCTGCCTCCTGGTAGTCACTAGGGGTCACTAGGAAGTCCTTGAGTGCCTGGTATTCTCAGACAGTCTGCAGCGGGATTCTGGAACTTGCCTTTTTATTTTTTCTTTATTTTCTTTTTCTTTTGGGTGCTAGGGGATTGAACTCAAGGCCTTGCACATGCTAGGCAAGTGGTATACCACTGAGCTACACCCCCAGCCCAAACTTGCCTCTTTAAAAAGAAAAGTTGGCTCTACTTTGGTGCTGAGATTCATTCGTATGGAGGTGTGTAGTTATAATCCACTTAGTTTTTTTTTTTTTTTTGCTGCATAATATTATGTCCTATCATGCATCTATATGCATTCTCAATAAGTCCGTGGACAATTGAGTTGTTTCCAGGTCTTTTATTTCTCCTCCCTTTCTCCTCCCCCCTCTGAGGATTAAGCCCAGGGGAGCTCCACCACTGAGCAACATACCCAGCTCCCCCTTTTTCTTTTTCTTTGTTCTAATATACCCAGCCCTTTTTGTTTTTTATTTGAAATAGAATCTCACTAAGTTGCCTAGCCTCCACATTTATGCTATTACAAAGTGCTGTTGTCATCTTTCACAAACCCATGTCCAATAGTATATGTGCAAAATGGGTCATAGCATATACACTTCTTTTTTGACGTTGCCAAATTGCTCTTCAAAATTATTTTGCCAATTTAATTCCCACTAGAAAAGTATGAGATCCGGTCTCCAGCCGCCCCAAGGCAAGTTCTGAGAGTCAGGAAAGCAGAACTGGGAATGGGTCGAGGGGTCTGTGGTGGTCTTAAGTGTGTCTAGAGATATTTGGTAGGTCTCTTGTGGCCTTGGAGGTGTTTGGGTATTTGGGAGGACTCGTGGCTTGGTGGATATTTAAGGGTCCACGGAACCCCCATCCCACCCCCGGGTGGAAGTCCCAGGCCTGATGGACGCTGAACAATATCTTCTCCCCAATTCATCTTCCTGCAGGAGCCCCGCAGCCTGAGTGCAGCGTCGCCGCCGATGACTGAGGCTGGTACTCCCCGCCGCTTCCGTCGGTCGGTGCCCCGAGGAGAGGCGGCGGGTGCGGTGCAGGAGCTGGCGCGGGCGCTGGCGCACCTGCTGGAAGCGGAGCGTCAGGAGCGGGCTCGGGCCGAGGCTCAGGAGGCTGAGGATCAGCAGGCGCGAGTTCTGGCGCAGCTGCTGCGCGTCTGGGGCTCTCCCCGTGCCTCTGACCCCCCACTGGGCCTGGACGACGACCCCGACGCGCCCGCCGCGCAGCTTGCCCGCGCTTTGCTTCGCGCTCGCCTTGACCCTGCCGCCCTCGCAGCCCAGCTTGTCCCCGCGCCGGCACCCGCCGCTGCATTTCGTCCCCGGCCTCCAGTCTATGACGACGGCCCCACTGGCCCAGATGCTGAGGACACTGGAGATGAGACACCTGATGTGGACCCGGAGCTACTGAGGTGCTGGGCAAAGGGAGGGTTGGGATGGTCATCAGCCTCTTGGGAGAGCGGGGACTAGGGACTGTGGGGCCGCTTCATCCCGTGGAGGCAAGAACATCGAAATCCTGGGGATGGGCAAGGGTTCTGGTGTCTTAGGAGGGAGAACTGAGATCCTGAATGTGGGGCACAGATTGAATGGTAGGTTGACTTCGGGTCCTGGGGAGAGACCCTGATCGCCTGTTTTCTGCCAGAAGAGGGAGGCGGGAAGTCATAGTTTCTGGTACGGGAGGGGAGGACCTCTTGTCTCCTGAAAAGCTCTGGGCTGGGGACCCTTGGGTGAGGAGGGATCTGGCAGTCTGAGGTTACAGGGTCCCGCTGTGAGGATTGCGGACACAGGCTTACTGCATTCCTCTTGGTCCTTAAGGTACTTGCTGGGGCGGATCCTCACTGGAAGCCCAGAGCCCGAGGCTGCGGCTGCTGTCCCGCGCCGCCTCCGCCGCGCGGCAGACCAGGATCTGGGCCCAGAGGCGCCGCCTGAGGGTGTACTGGGGGCACTGCTGCGCGTGAAACGCCTGGAGAACCCCCAGCCCCAGGCGCCTGCGCGCCGCCTCCTGCCGCCCTGAGCTCAGCCCACAACCTGTGTCTCGGAACCCAGGAGTGCCCCAGCCACCTGGACACAGGACTCACCCTGCCAGCACGTTGAGAGCAGCTTACTCCTCCAACCCCAAGATCCCCACCCTGGCCCTACAATAAACAGGATCTGAAGCAGTTGTTTGTCTGTGACTGGCAGTTGCTAGGGGCTTCCCCTAGACAGGGCAGAGGGACTCTTTCCCTGGGTCCTGCACTTTAGAGATGCTGCCTACTCAGTCTGTGCTTCTATGCACTGAACAGTGGCAGTATATATACAAAGACGGTTTTCATGTGTATTGTTTGCACTGAGGTGCAATCAATGTACCCAAAGCAGGGCGTGGTACACACAGGGCTCCCCCAAATTTCTTTTTTTTGGGTACCAGGGATTGAACCCAGGAGCATTTAACCACTGAGCCACATCCCCGGCCCTTTTTTATATTTCATTTAGAGACAGGGTCTCACTGAGTTGCTTAAGTTGCTGAGGCTGGGTTTGAATTGATGATCCTCCTGTCTAAGCCAACCAAGCTGCAGGGATTACAGGCATGCGCCACCACGCCTGGCCTTCCCCAAATTTCTTGAATGAAAGAATTCCCATAATTCAAGTATCATTCTACCCAGTCTCACTCCCACCCACATAACACTTGGCATGGAGGCAGCTTTGAAACCTGAGAACATTTTAATTTTGCACAAAAATCTCTCAATTTGACATAACATAGCCAACATTAGAAACCCCCGTGTTGCCAAAAAAAAAAAAAACCCTCACCAAATGAAAGTTAATTAAAGTGTGTCCATCTATGCCCATTACACCAACAGTGTCCATGATACTAGTTGATAGGGGGTGTCTCATATCAAAGGAATCATCACCCTGGCCTGTGGGAGAAGCCATCTTTCCAGACCTATATCTTCAGGCCACAGAGCAGCCACAGCTGCACATGGCCTTCTGGTGCTGGGACTTCTCCTCACATGACACTGCCATGGCCTTCTGGACCCTTTGGATCTCTTGGATGAGCAGGGAAAAGGCTTCCTCCACACCTTGCCGGGTCTTAGCTGAGGTCTCCACGAATGGGGCTCCCCAGCTTTGAGCCAGGGCTATAGCAGCAGCATGAGCATCTCCAGTGGTGGTCACAAGGTCACACTTGTTGCCCACCAGGACTAGGGGTTGGGGGTGGCGAGGACTCCAGGTGGCCCATATCTGCTGCAGCTGGGTCAGAGATGAAGGATCATCGAGAGCAAAGACACCTAGCACACCATCACCAACTGCCAAGCACTGGTCACGCAGGGCCCTGTGAGTTTCCTGCCCTGCAGTGTCTAGCACATTCAGAATATAGCCCCCACGGTCCAGGGCCACCTCCTTCCAGTAGGAATCTTGGATGGTGGGGTCGTGGTCTTCCACAAAGCACTGGTGGGTCATCTGGATGGTCAATGCACTCTTGCCTACGCCACTTGCACCCACCACCACCGCCTTGTACTCAGGCAGTCGTTTGCCAACACCCTTGCGGTGTGACCAAGCCTCTCGACTCTCCTTTGAGCTGGGGTTCCATGTGCCCAGGCCCAGGTCAAAGACATCAGGCTTTGTTGGCAGTTCCATGCCCCAAAACAGGCAGCTCAGGGAAGAGAGAACAGCAGGCTCTGTCAAGTTGGAAGAAAGACAACAGAGGATATGAGGCACTGGGATATCTGGGTGTCACTGAATCAACATTTGGAGTGCCTACTGTGTGCTGATTACTTCCTAATATGCATACATTATTTATGTTGGTCTCCCCCCCTTCTTCCTCAGAGAGAATCTCTGTGAAGGAAATATTTTTCCTTTTTTTTTGGGGGGGGGTGCTAGGATCAAACTCATGGCTTCACCTAGTACTGGGTTAACTCCTTAGTGCCAAGGCAGAATTTTCCAAATAGCTTTACTGAGGTACAATCTACATCCTGTGAAGTTCCCCCAGTTAAAATGTACAGTTCAATGGATTTAGCATACTCACAAAATCATGTGAAGTTTAGAACATTTTTGTTGCCCAGAAAAGAATTCCCATACCCATCAATAGTCCCTACCCATTGCTGAGGGAGGACAGGATTTTGTTTATTTGGGGTACCATTGAACCCCACCCCAGGTCAATGCCTGTCAGGCAGTAGTCTGTTCAGAATATCCCCACCCTCAAGGGGTTTATGTTCTAAAAGGGCATTATTATCTAAAAGAGAATAAACCAAATAAATGAGGGAAGTATGTAGCCTACTAACCATTTTCTTTAGAATTTTAGTCTTATTCTATATTGCTGTCTATAATTTCACACTGTTATCTGACAACAATAAGATAAATAATAAGTAAAAGGAAAAGTAAAATGTATTTCAGTAGTAGGTGATCACCATGCTGAAGGTACTGGATTAATGTTAGGCATTTTTATTATTATTCAATGTCCCATTGTCTAACTAATGGATTTTCCTGTATGTGAGGCATTGTGAAAAGGCACAGAACAAAACAACACCCAACTCCTGGCCCAGGGAGCATTAGACTCTAGCTGTGCAAGGCAATAAACATGATAAATAAGGAAACTGTCTTGCATATTAGAGGGGGATAGGCACACAGCAGGTGCTCAATTTGTGTTCCTATTAATAGCAAATCACCATTAACTCATTGAATGAACCTCCACTTCCGGTTTGGGAAGCTCCCTCAAAATGCACCATGATGGCTATTACCATAATTTTCTCTAAAAATCAGGGCAGAGTTTGGGGACGGTTGCTCCACATTTCCCTGGGAGTTTTAGCGGAGTTCGGGATTTGGAGGGCGAGATGGGGGAGGGATGCAGAACGTGGAGAAAATGGTCGCTTGGAAGTGCTTGCCCAGAAAGGGAGGGGGGCAGGATGAGAAAAACAAGCAGAAAATGGAGCTTTGGGGGTTCACTCTGGGAAAAGAAAGAGGGAGAAAACCCATGAGGACAGATTGAGGGGAGGGAAGTAAACAGCAGCAGTGGGGAGGCTGGAGATGGTGGCAGAACCAGTACAGGTAGGGAGGAGATGTCAGGTTTTGGTTTACTCTTGAGATGGAACTGACTTGTTTTTTACTTTTTCTTTTTCTTTTTTTTTTTTTTTTTTGTTTTTTTTTTTTTGGTGCTGGGGATTGACCCCAGGGCCTTGTGCACTCGAGGCAAGCACTCTATCAACTGAGCTAAATGCCCAATCTGGAACTGACTTTTTTTTTTTTTTAGAAAATTCAGAATTTATTTATGCATAGGGCCTATCTACATCACACCCAAACAAAGATGTATTGTCCACTGAAAACCCCATTTGCCTTCAGTCCCTCCATCTATGACATTCTTGGAAGTTCAAAACAGTCAACAGTCTGGACCTGTGTGAGTGTGTGTGTTATATATATATATATATATGAATATATATAATTATATATATAATAGGTATGTGGTGGAACTGACTTTCTTAAGAGATTTAAAGGCAGGGGATCAGGCAAGGACGTCTCCGTCTCCAAGATTGGGGCCTGAGAAGCTGGAAATCTGGGGGTGCCACGGCCAGCGGTGGGGGAAGTGTGAGAAGAGCTTCTCCCTCTTAGAGATAGCGCTGGTGGCTTCAGTACTGACCCCTAAGTGCGGCACTCAGTAGAGGCAGGGTTAGCTCAGAAGTGCCCACACTCATCTAGTCTTTGCGACTAGGGGGAGGTCGAGCTTAGGGTCACCCTACCCATCAAATAGATGAGGAAAAGCGAACTCATAGAAGCGAAGGGACAGGAACTGACCCCAGGTCACACAGACCCATGAGAGGTGCTACAGAATGGGTTTTCAGCCTTTGGCTTAAGTAACAGAGCCACTTGCAGTAGGGAATGCCATCGGAGTGTCCCCAAAGGGTCCTTGAGACCCTTGGAGCCACCTGCTTTGAGCTGCTGGGATGCGCTGCCTGGCCTCGCCTTGCCTTGTTGCCCTAGGAGGGTGAGCGGAGGGGCTGTGCGTGCTGGGTGAGGGAGACTGCTGGGGTACCAGGGCCCCCTTGCAGGACTAACCTGGACAACTCGCCCAACCATGCACTTTCCTTACTTCCTTCCTCCGAGTGAGGCAAGGTGCAAAGCCCTGAGCGGGGACAGATGAGCCTAAAACGTTTTCCTCCCCGCATCTCTATTTTGGGCTCAGCTTGCATGGTGGTGCCCAGGTGCTCCTTTTCGTACTACGCAGAGAAGAGGTCCTTGCTTTTGCAGCGCCACAACCGGCGCTGGGTGCCGGGAGCAAGAGGCTCACTCCCCCAGGAAAAAGAACCGCAGACAGGGAAGGGTCCCCTTTAACCTGGCGCTGGAAGACTCCAGCCCAGGCCAGAGTGAGGCTGTGGGTGGGGGGCGCGGACGGCCGGCTCACCTGTGTCCTGGAGAAGCGATGTGCAGGGAAGCTGCGGGCGGATCTGACAGGATGGTCTGGGGGCCAGGCTCCCCGACCCCCAGCAGGGAAGGGGCGGGGGCAGTGGGCATGCGCAGCCGCCCTCTCTCGACCCCCCTCCCACCCACCCTCAACCCCTGCACCGCCCCCACTGCTGTAGCCACTGCCCGGGTCAAACCTCGGGCACCTGACACCTGGGCGTGAAGGCGGTTCTCCAGGGGTACGATGCGGGAGGCCAGGCCTCTCCAGGTCCCCCCCACCAGCCGCCGCCGCCGCCGCCGCCGCCGCCGCCGCCACCACCACCACCAAGGGTCCTGCCTCACCTCTCCATGGCCTCGCCTCCGTTTGGGATGAGTCTGTGTATGCAGGGGAATGTCAGGGGTTGACCCTGAAGGTGGGATTTTGTATTTCTTTGGGGCCAGGTAGTCTGTGAAGTGGCTTTTTGGTAGCTCTGGAGGGGGCTGGGTCCTTCCCCCAAGGGAAAGACTTGTAGGGAAGGGGTTATTCTGTCTGGGGAGAAAGAACCCAATTTGAGATGGGTGTGCAAGTTATAAATTTCCTAGACTCCCTTGCAGCTATGGCAATCATAAGACACAGTTCTGACCAATGAGATTTATGGAGGGGTTTTGGGGGTGGCATCCATTAATATTCTTACAAGGGTGTTGGCCCAAACTGCTTGTCCTTGTTCTTTCCTCTTCTTTTTGACTAAGTGGGCCTCTGATGGTCATCTTGGGATCAGAAGATGACCATGAAGAGATGTCTAGAATCCTTGGCTAAAGCAATTCTTACCTTGGGTCAATGGCATACTTTCTGCCAGGGTGCTACCCATGACTACCACATCCAGTTAAACACGAACCCATCCCCACACCCACCAATTAGGCCAGTTAGACAGATGGGGAAACCTTGATTTGGTGAAGATACATCCCGAGAGTTATCTTCTCAGCTGAAGGCACTGGCTGTGAGGCCTCTATTTCTAAGGCAGGCACCCATTTTCTCGTGTATTCTACTATTTAACCTCCAGTGGAGCTAGTCAAGTGGGGGAGCACTGGGGATTGAACCCAGGGGCTCTTTACCACTGAGCTACATCCCTAGCCTTTTCTTTGTTTCTTTTTTCTTTTTTGAAACAAACAAGTTGCTTAGGGGTTTGCTAAATTGCTGAGGCTGGCCTTCAACTTGTCATCGTCCTGTCTCAGCCTCCTGAGTCACTGGGATTAAAGTTGTGCATCTTCAATTAGATTTCCTGGGGGCAATCAATGGCCAGGGGGTTGACTTGATGAAGACCCACTCCCTCATTACCTACTCCTTCATTACCATCAACCCTGTTGGCTAGGGATGTGGGGTTCTCAACATACTCAAAATTAAAAGGCTTTCTCCATGTTTTGTAATAACTTGCATTTTATTAAATATGCAATCCTGCCATAACTGCCACTTGCCCCCCCCAATATTATCCTTGTGATTTCAGCTCTCTCATGGAGCTGCCGAGCTGCCCCTCTCTCCTGGGGTAGAGTAGTGGTGCCCCTCAAATAGGCAGCAGGCAGGGGCAGGTCCATGACTGATCATCACAGTCCTCTTAAAAGTATTTAGTACATTTAAATAAGCACCCTTGGGCAACTTTCAAAGGATATTCAGGGTATGGCAGAGTAAGAGGCCACCCTCATCCAGGGTAAGGGTTGCAAAGAACTAAGGCTGGTCTGTCTTGGGCCTCAGAAGGGAGAGAAAAGGGAGCACATTCTGGGATTTAGTGTGGGTGGGGCATATTCTCCCCAAACTTATATTGGTGGATGATGTTCTTCACATCTAGGAGAGCCTGAGGAGGAGGCAAGAACAGGGTAGGTGAGAGGAGTGAGGACAGCTCTACCTTAGCCAAGAGGTTGCCCTACTCCAGCCCTCAACCACCCCCACCCCTAGACTATCTCATAGTCCCTACATCATACTAAATAATCAGGATGCAGCCTTTGGTAGGATCTGTATTCTCCCTTTACCCAATCACAGAAGGGGATAGGGATGGGCTGGGGGGCAAGTATGTGTCAGGGGTTAAAGGGTCTGCCCAGGACGTACCTGGTGGTGGACATAGGCCTGACAGGGGTAACACCAGGTAGACAAATCAGTGTAGCTGAGGACCAGTGGGTGTCCAGAGGCTTCATGGTGTCGGACCATATGAGCATTGATGTAACGGCTGCAGTAAACCTAAGGTTGGAAAGTGTCAGGTGGGGCTCAGCACTCACAT